TAAGGGGAGGAAGATGTTTGAAACTATGACAATAATTTAGAGTACGAGGAGTTTCAAACTCATGACACATAAGTAGAAACACAACATCCTAAAGTAATTTATTTATAAGATTTTTTGTTTTTGTTTTTTATATATGGACATTTTAAAAACTAAATATAATACATTCATTGCTGCACTTTGTTAAGGATATTATACCATTTTGCAAATCGTGCAACATCCCATTTTCAATAATTTCTCATTTTCTTCTCAAAATATTCATTTTTAATCTATGACACATCAATTCTCTTTCAATTTCCATCATGTTTCACACCATCACATATGACTATATGACCAATATTCTAATACGAGTAAAATATGTATATGTAAAGGAGAATCTCATTCTTCATGGGTCCAACGCCACCAGCCATGGCGTCACCAACAAAAGGAACCACCACTGGTACGCAAAAGCTTCCCCTCATCCTCCATCCTTCATACCCCACCACCATATCCACCCTAGCTACCTTGGACCCCAAATGTATACAATGGCAAAGAAAGCAGCCCAAAAAGGAGGAGACCACGCAAAAATTGACCACAATAGTCTTAGTCTGGTAATGGATAAAACCGTGTGTCCCCCCTCATCAAAATATAAACAGTTTTAATGCCTAATTAAACTATAGCAGACTAATTTTTTTACTAATTAAACGAAGGTTTTTTATATTAACATCCCACAAAATGTTGAATGCATTTCACATTAAAATTTAATATTAAATGACTTATTTACCCCACTATGCAATGACAATTTTGACCTTATTAGGTTTTAAAAAAAAAAAAAATTTCTAAATACACCCCAAATCACAATTAGCGTATTATTTATCTTTTCAACTATCAAGACCCTCCCACCCTCCATTGTTGAACAAAACCCTAACTAATGAAACTACAAACATGTTGATTGAGAAAAATTGTTTTTGACAAATGGAATACGAAATCGATGTTTTGGAAGCTTCACATGAGGTAAGACTTCATATTTTTCATTGTTTTAGTGATTTCGCCGACATCGATAATTATTTAATCTTGCGTTTGCTGCGTTATTTAAACTTCTATATTCATATTCATCTTTTAGGGATCACAATGATTACATGAAGAATTAAACACCTAAATTACCACCAAATATTAAAAATAGACGAGATGGGTTGTAATGGTGGAATTGAAAACAAACCCATATATGATTTAAATCCCAGGCAACATTTTTGTCAAATTCCAGTCGGCATTTTTGGTCCAAATTAAAAGCTTTATCTCTGGCATTTGTTGGAGGTGTTGTGTTGGGAGTTCTTTTGTTTTTCTTCTTTTGGATCCCTACAACACGATAAAAAACACATTACAGTAAATAACTATGAGGATCATTAGGAAAGTTGAATGGATTCATATGGCAATACTAACCGTGACTTAGAAGCAGAACCATGTCACTGTCAAGAACAGATGTTATACGATGCGCAATAGTAATGACTGTGCAGTCAGTAAAGTGTTGTCGAAGGGTTTGCTGGATCAGATGTGGGGTGAATGTACAAAATATAAGATGTATATTGAGAATATGGGGTGTAGGGATATTATGGGAAAGTATGTGGGTGTATTAAGATAATTTTTAAGTGAAAAAACAAATGTGAAGTGTATTAAGTATGTGGTTTATTCAACAATTTATGAGGTGTTAATATAATAAGCCTTAAATGAATACAGAAAAGTATTACGATCAATAGTCTATAAACATCTTCTAAATCCGTTGCAAGATTTGATAACTGACTTGAAATATAAGTTTGAGGACATCTTTTCCTCTCATACTAACTTTCCACGCATAAATGGATAAGCATGAACTCACAGCTAGCTACAATTGCCACAAAAAAAGGGAGCAAATTATTGACAGAGAAAAGAAAAGAAAAGAGAGAAAGAGAATGCTACATATATATACATAATTTATATATTATACATGCATAGAAAGTAACCCTCTCACACGTGATATAATATCTTCTCTCACACGTGACATAGAATCTTACTCACAATTCATGATAAAGTATACATACATTTATGTCTATAATACTCAGCACGTAACATAACAGAGTCATTTCTTCCCTGGAAACAATCACAAACATATACTCTCCACCTCATTAATTAAAAACCTTGAGGATCATCAAATTGTCACAATTCTTGTGGTTTGCAAAAACATAATGTCAGATGACTCAAATCTCTTACGTGGGTTTGTGTGAGCTTGCGAAGTTCCACAAATGACAATTTGAACCACTTCATACCCTTCGACCAAGCTTTGTGCATGCCTCATTGTCTCTTCTTAATGTCAGATGACTCAAATCTCTTACGTGGGTTTGTGTGAGCTTGGGAAGTTCCACAAATGACAATTTGAACCACTTCATACCCTTCGACCAAGCTTGGTGCATGCCTCATTGTCTCTTTCCCTTGTCCTTAAAACTTTCCATGATAAAAAGTGAGGGAGGGATCGGTTGGAGGGTGAGAGGAGGGGATAAAAAGACAGCTGACATGCACCAGTCACCCACCTCACCTATAATCTTTGGACTTTTAAGTATATTCATGAGAATCATACGATTGATATTCTCATAAAATATAAAATAAGGGCTGGTCCACCATTGTTCTTGTGAACAAAAACTAAATGGTCCGGTTCATAATTCATTGTAATTTGGGGCTACTTTAGGACATGACAAGTTTATTTTCCAATGAATTTTTGACAATAAAAAAGCACTTAACCCCATCCTTCTCAATAGAAAAGCTGATTGAATGTAACAATAACAACTTTTTCTACTTAAAACTACAGTTTGATGGTGTTCTTCTTAATTTGTAAGTAATAGTCTTTTGATTTCAATTCTCATAAATAAAGAATTCAACATCGAATTATTAAGATTAACTCATTGTATTTTTTAGTACAAATCTTCTACCACTTGATATAAATATATTATTGTATTCGTAAGAAATTTTTTCCTTCGCCTTCAAAGAATACATTAGGTTATTTTCAAATGATCTATATAATCATCTTGTTGAGAGCTCCAACGATCTTGGCCTTTCACATCAAGAAGTTATCATTTCATTTACCAACAAAAGAAAGAAAAATATAATGCCCACCGCATCCGAGACAAAAATAATGATTTAAAAAATCAGCCCCCTTCCCCGCTATACGCTGGTTTCATAAAGAAAATTTTCAGTGAGATCGCAGCACAATTCATTACATTAAATGTTATAATACAAATAGTTAAATAAATAAATAAAAAATTATACTACTTGCATTATGACATTTAGTGTACTGAGCCAAAAAACAGCACACTGAACCATTTCTCCCTTCCTTGTTCCCTAAACTTTCTGCTATGCAAATATTCAAAGGTTGGGGAAAATGGAGACTTTAAACCTGCTTTAGGTTTTTTGACTCACCCACTAAATGCTCACACACTCGGTAGTTTGTCTGGGGAACAAAAGGAACTTTTAAAGATTTTTTTTTATGATTTTTTCAGAGGGAAAGTCATGGTGATGAGCTCTATGGTCAATTCCATACCTAAATAAGGAAACAATGAGGGTACATATGACGCGGGGGATTTTATGTTTCTATATTACCCTTTCTCACCCAGCCCATGTTTCTTGACATTTCATCTAGCATCTTCAAAAGCAAAGTTAAATTTTTTATGTCAGATTATCTCTAAATAAGATGTCAAATTATAAGAGTCAAACTACAATTGATGGTTGATGTGTCAATTTGAAATCTTATGTCAAATTTTGTACTTTTTCATCTGAACTGTCAAATGTTATTTTATTATTTAAATAGAACTTTAAATTTTTTTAATTATTAAAAAAATGTTGAAACATAATTTTTATTAGTTGAAATGTTAGTGGAATAAGGGACCCATCATTAAAATGAATTAAAAATTAATTTGACATTGATGTCAAATTTGATTCCAAATCACCAAGCTTTCAAATCCAGTCAACAAATAACACTTCGGTCGGAAAAACTTTTAATGCCAAATATGCACAGTGACATTCCACCTAGGATTTTGACATCTCCTTTGGAGATGCTCTCACCTAAGAAAAACGCATATGCAATAGAGCTAACAATCTTGTTAGCAAATTAAAGAATTAACACTACTGACCTTGTAAATACAAGGTCAGTTGCTACTTCTTCAAGTTAACAAATTGGGTTGTGCAAGTTAAGATAAAGTTAAGATATTAATATTTTAAGCTGAAAAATAAAATTTGAAGAGTTTGTTGAAGAGTGAGTTAGAGTGACACATTTTAGCAAATGACACTTTTAAAGAAAATTTTTACTAATTCATTTGTGACTAGTCATGATTGTTTATATGCAATCAATAATTAAATTAGTAATGCTAGGGAGACCAAAATTTTAAACTAAATGATGTGTCACCTATAAGAAACAAACACGTTAATTGACACTTAATTAATAATCCAATCATCTACTACCACATCATTTGATTTACAAATTTGGTTTAAAAATATATTGAGGTTTGTATGGGTGCCTTGGGGATTACTTGGCTAGAAATAGACTGTCTTTCTTGTCACTACATTCATTTACAGGCTATTCCGAATGGGAACAATTTCACCTTTTTAAGAGTTATCTTGGGGTAGAAATGGACGCCGAAAAAGCTCTATTCACACCAAAAGTCACCTATTTTCATGTGAATATGGTTTAGTTTATAAAATTTTAATAAGGGAATTTTAACGAAAGCTCTCGGTACTGTTCATTTAACCGAAAAACCATATTTTTACACTAAAAAAATCAATCTTAGTACTATTCACTTTACCTTTTTTTTATTCTTATTGTTAAAACTCAAAATTTTCAAACCATTTTCATTAATTTTCCTTTTTAATAAACGTAAACAAAAGCTAAGGCTTGTTTTATAAAATGACCCAAATGCAGTGGCTTCAACAATTTGATCCAAGAAATTTGCATTTTGGTAAAATATTCAATCACCCCACTGACAAGGGGGGAGAGAGAGAGAGAGTGAGGAATGCATGATAGAATCTGCAGCATACTATATATTTGAAATTTTATAAAATTCATACAAACTCAAGTACTTTATGTCTCATATCCAGCAGTAAGATACAAAGGCCACATAAATTAAAATCAATACAAATCATTGGTTTTGTGACGTTTTCTGGCTATGCTGCATGAGACATAATGCAGCAGGCAGAAGGTTGCACGGCCTGTTACGGCAAGGGGACCAATGTAATACTGGACAACATCCTTACCGAGTGCGTGCATACTGTGGGCTCCCAATCAAAAAGCATAACTTATTTCTAAATTATGGTAAAATAGATACAAGTGAGGTACATACATACACTTCATTTTCCAGGGAAAACCATCCCTAGCCGTTCTCTTTGTCGACTTAGAATTTTGTTTGGGGATGGCGTATTCGTTCCTGCACCAGCCTGCCACATCATCTCTGCATCAAGCCAGTTCCAGTAAGATTTACGTGCTATATACTAAAAAAATCATATACGGTCACCCGCAAGTTTAAAAAGAGAGGATCATTCTAATCAAAACAAAACAACATACATAAATACAAAACAAATCTTAGTTATGCCAGGTTGAAAAATACAAATGAAAACTTGCCTCGCTTCCTCTCGAGCTCTTCGTCAAGCTCTTGTTTCCACTTTCTTTGCATCTCAGAAAAGCTTGCACTGAAATTAAACCCATCTCCATTCGGTTACAGCAGAATAGTGCAAGACATAAGGTATGAAAAGGCATCAAACACCAAAGACAAACCTCAGACTAAATGATTCTTTCTGATCATGAGGGAGCTCTTTCCATTCACTAAGCTGAGGTGGCTGAATTTCCTGCAAGACTCGGTCATGTACACCACTGGCATTTGATACATCTCTTGTATGTTTCCCAGGGCCTGCAGCATCAAATGCTGTAGAGAATCTTCTACTAGGTGCGCGACTCGGTGACTTACTCTTAGGAGGTAAGTTCAGAAGCTTTGAAACATGTTCACGATTTGCATTTCCAATACCAGCTGCATTCAATGAGCTACAGAACTCTTCATATAGAGGTGTTTGCAGCTTCTTCAAATCTAACGCCTGATTAGGTTCATGGAGCAAGTTTATTGCATTAGAATCCTACCACACAAACTCCGAGCAAACATACCATTGTTGAATGATTTCACCACTAATTTGCACAGGAAATAACTCAGCAGACATAAATAGTACCTTTTCATCCAGGAAGGCTCTTATTTTTGACTCTGTAACTTCCTCATCATCTTCAGCTGCTGATGGCCCAGAAGGAAACATGAATTCAGTCTCCACCTTTTGGGATGCTCCAATGCTCCCAGAAGCCTCATGTATTGTTTGACAAGGGGAGAAGTTAATTCCACTTCTCTCCGTTTCCAGATTTTCATCAAACTTGCATGGCCAGTCATCATTTGGTTCACACATGGGATTGAAACTCTATTTCAAACAATCAAATCACTCATCATAATTGGAGTTTATTACTCTGAATGATCTAGAAGGACAAGGAAAAAGTTCATTACCTTGTTTAATTCATCAGGTCCAACCACAGATCTGAATTTTGCAAATGAACCAAGGACAATGTCATCTGTATCATCAATCTGACACATGTCGTCGTCGTCATTACTGGAAGGTCCCCAGCGGGAGCTCCCTCCTGAAAAATTCCCTGGATATACAGTTGAGCACCTAACAGAGCCAATATCACAAATATCCTTCAAGCCGGCACAGGTAGACCTTCTGATCGAAGGGCTGTAGTGGTAATAAAATTAGTAGAGGCAAGATTGTCAACCAGAAATAAATTCCGAAACGATTAAATGATAAGACTTACAAGTTCTTATGATCTGTCCCAGGTGCTGCCATCTCGTTTCCAGCTTCCTGATAAAACTAGTTATTAACTAATTCAATTATACCAATAATGAAGATTGTAGAACAATGATCAAACAGATAGAATAGTTGAACCAATAAAACTAAGTCAATTATACCAACCATAAATGAAGCACGAAGTACTGGACGAGGTTCCTGATAATCCCCAATCACAAATGGATGCTGCACATGACCAGCATATTATTTCATTAGTGAAAAAGAAGAAGAAAAAGACCTTCACAGGCGACCGTAGTTTTAGATGGACACGATTTATTTATTTTATTATCCTATCCTTGACATAATACCTAGGAAGTCAAATATCCATGATTGAAAACTATGACGCATCTGCTTGTATGTAACGCCCCATTCCTAATTACACTACGAACTAATATGCAACATTGTATGCATTCATATTTACCTGCACTAACTCTGATGCAGAAGACCTTCGACAAGGTTCCCTGCCACCAAAATATGGATTATAAGAGTTAAGGAAAAATATAAATAGATGGCATTTGTAAAAAATTTATATCTGCATATTCTATCGAGAAACTAAAGTATGTTTAGCTTGTACAAATGGAAAAAATTAGGGAAAAATAGAATTCATAGTTGTACTTCTCTAAACATTTTAACAGAAAATCCTTTGCCTCAGCAGAGAGGTGCTCGGGGATGGGTGGATGAGATTTTGTTGTTCCAATATGGAAAAGAACAGCAACCTGAAAAGAAAAACTTGTAATCTTAGTATCCAACCTCTTCGGTAAAACCACACTAAATTAGAAAAATTCTAGTCATGTTAGACACAATAATCAAACTATTAGTTGGCTAAAGCAGCTTGAAGGGTTACCTCCTGATACTGTTGGCTCCATGGAGGCTTTCCTGTAGCCATCTCAATCACAGTACATCCAACACTCCATATGTCAGCGGAGCTAAAAAAACATATTCAAAACGAATGAGATCCAAGCATCAGAAACACAGAGTAGCTGAATCCACCAACTAAGATGGGACAAATCATCAATGCATGAGAACATGCTTCTAGTTGGAGATTAGGATGAGAAGTGCGTTAAAGGTTGTACCATTTCTTGTGTAAACAGACTGTATACAAAATATCAACATCAGTGAACCTTATCTGATTAATATATGCACAACTGAAATAGAAAACTTCCAGGAGAGTGTTCCTAAGTAGAACCAGTCCTAGAGAAAAGGCACACACAAGACTGCAAAACAAGTCTCAGTAAGGTACTGGAAAAAAACTTTGACTAAAAATAATGGCTAATGCAGAAAACAAGGTTGATAAATGATAAAACAAATAGCAAAGGAATTATCACAAAATAGTCAACTCTCTTAAACTTAGTAAAGATACTTCAAATCTGCTTCAAATCTGAATTAAGAAACACTTCTAAGTTCTAATTGACATTGTATCGAGATATAATTGTGAGTAGTGTGACCATCCTCAGCATAAAAGTTAGTAGTTGTCCTTACAAGCTATGGCCAGTCTGAAGAATAACTTCAGGCGCCATCCAGTATGGAGTACCCTTCATTGACTTGGCACCATTTATAGTAGCCTGTAGCAATAAATGAAATTGCTATTGATGTGTATGAAAAAGACAATAAAATCATTTATCCATAATACATACTAAAAATGTCATTACCAGTTCAACAACTTTCTTTGATGCACCAAAGTCAGCAAGTTTAATGCACCCTTTATTATCCACAAGGATGTTTGCACCCTATATGAAGCATGCCCATGATTAAATGAGAGAGAGAGGTCACCTCATACTCTAACTGAAAAGATTAAACAGTTCAAATGGGGAGATACCTTGATGTCCCTATGCATGATTTCATTCTTGTGAAGGTATTCAAGACCCAATAACAGCTGCTTTGTGTACATTCGTATAACCTGCACAAGTAACATTTTCAAAATGTAAAATTGATATTCCAAACACCAGAGGTCAATCACTTAGAAGTAGCAAATACTTACAGACTCGGGAAAGGATCCAAATTTCCCCAAGAGGGACGATATGGATCCACCCGGCACAAACTCCAATAGAATATTCAATGAATCCTCCTCTCTAGCAGTCCCCAAGTACCTCTAAATAACAACATTGAAACAGTAAGACAGTAAGTGATCACCATCACTTCCATAAAAGAACAAAAACAATCTTACTCACAACAATATTTGGATGTGAAAGATTCTTAAGAAGCTTCACTTCCTCCTCCAACTCTCGAATGTGAGCCTGATTTCATTAGATTAGAAAGACAAAACTGCAGTCACTTAGTCTCAAAATGAAAATTAGTGTTCACATCTGAAAACATATCATTCAAACTATTAACAGTAACTTAGCACACAAAAAATGAGGTCATTAATATGCAGCCAAACAAAGACCACAAATTTATCACCGAAATGCTTAGTTTATTCAATTAATCGCAACTTTGTATGCTTCCAAACGCAAATTAAGCAATACCCAACAAAAATTACAACTACTAGAATCTAAAAATTAAAACTTTGATAGAAAGCAATGAAATTTATGCAAAATCAGAATCATGCCTGTGTCTTCTCCTTTGAAGCACTGTTTGCCGCAATCAACACCTGTAAGAATCACAATAGCATAAAAACCCCAAATCCATTACCAAAAAACCAAATTCAATCTTGAGGATCATCAAGCAGGCAGACCTGTTTCACAGCGAGAAGCTCTCCGGAATCGAGGTTCATTCCCATGTAAACCCGGCCAAAGGCACCGGACCCAATCAACTCGCCCTTCCGCCACCGAATCGGCGGTGCGTCGTCTCTCGAAGCAACCGGAGGAAGAGCACAAACCGGAGCCTTGGGTAACAGTCCAATTCGCGAATTTCGGAGGCTGGAGCGGACCTTCCCCACCAGGCCACCAAATCCTCCTCCTCCTCCTCCGCCTCCTACCTCGTCCCGGCGCGGAGGCCGAAGCGGCAGGGACTCGCGTATCAAGCCGACGAGGCCTTGCATCGGTGTTAGGGTTTTCTTTTTGGGTCGGTCGTTGGGGCTCATCGCCATCGGCGGTGGAGCTGTAGGGACAGCAAGGCTAGGGTTTTGTGAGTTTCATTAGTTTCTTGGAATTTGGTGGTGGGGCCGCGGAGGGGTTGCTCTGTGGGAGGAGGAAGGAGAGAGGAGAGTTGAAAATTTTGAATGGAGGGAAAAGGCTGGGGGATCTGTTTTCTCTATAATTCAAAAAATAAAAAAAATAGATATAACCAAACGGCCACCATTTGAATGAGCCTTATTATTATGACGTATGTGAGCACTGGTTTATGAATTACAATGTAAACCATGATTATTTTGGATAATTCTGTTAATAATTTTTATCTAAATAAAAAGTTTTAAGGAAAATATATTGACACATCCTAACTCGAAATGTTTACTTAAACTCTGAATCGAGTTGTACTGCCCGACATTCGAAGGGTGATGAAGCCATAAAGTGTAGTGATGTGAAAAATGTAAATAAAGTTAAACCTAAAAGTGCCTAAATATAAGGTTGCGGCGGAAATGAACGTATTTCACACGTGATGTCAGATCATAAATAAAGTGTATTAAAAATTAGAATAAGAAGTATACCATTGGAAGTAATCTCCGATATTAGCGTTTGCCAGAAATCCCTGTCGACACGAACACTGCCACTAAATCCTGGAGGGGCGAAAATAAGGGTGAGTAGGCCTATAAATAAAGCTTTGTAAAACTTTTTGAAAACGTAATAACCCATCGCTGTAAAACAAATATAGTTTCCATATATATATATATATTACGTATGATATGAAATACACTTACCGAAGCCAATAATATATGAAGAATGCAATGTGTCACGACATTCGTAAATAAATACATAACGTCCTGTAATCACATAATTCCGCATAAACAAACATATCATATCGAGTACTCATCGACATGTCACAGACGAGTTTATGCATAGATATTCTGACATGAACATGATTAGGTGTAATAATGATTTACGCTCTAGTACTACAATCACATGAAGACTGGCGTTATGCATATTACATATGAGACCTAATTGCCTATAGAAATATTGGACAGGACTAGCACCTACAATGGATCCAAAGTAAGCGTATGGTGCGATGTGAACATACATGTGAAAGACTAGCCCTGACTCGGGTGGGTACTAACACTAATGCATCACACGATGAGCAGATAACGTAAATATGATCAAGCAACAGTAAATCGATAATTCTAGTCAACATAACACTATTCATGGCCGCAAATATAATTTAGACATCCCATAATAATATGCATACTTGTGCATCCGCAGGATTCAGAATAATTTCATAATTCTCAACATTACGACCTTTTTTATAAACATTAATTTAATTATGGCAATCACGTAGAAATTTCATTATTAAATATATATGTGAAAACTAAACAAATATATATACTATATAAAAGAAAAGATCCGCTCACATATACTTGCGAGGTTGCAACTATTCAAACTAGAAAAGTCGAAGTCTCCGATAGTAATCACACTTAAACATAATATTTGGACCAATTAGTAAAACTCAACTAAAACAACTAAATTTGGGAAAACGGAGTGCGGATTTGGAATTAGGATGTCGAAATACACTACGAAGGGTCTCAAGCAATTTTCGTAAAAAGTTAATGGTCAACAAAAAAGTCAACCGAGCCGCTGAGGTGGTCAACTATGTTAAAACTTTGGAATTTCACTAAATGGATGCCAAAAACGAACTTGGGGCTTCGAAATTACCCTAGAATGGTTTCCGAGAAATTTTAAAAAAAGGTCAACATAAGGAATATTTCAAACAATATTCAGGAGATATTCTGGATCGTTTTGTCAATTCACTCTTTTAAAATTAATAAACTCGTAAAATTAGAGACAAGTTATTACATATATGAAATGAATATTCTAGCGTAATTATCCAAAATAATCATTACTCCATATTTTTACAAGTTCATAAATTAATAATTATATATTTTTAATTTATGGACCAGAACTCTAAATAATTAGTCAAAATTCATGGACCAATGTCTTAATTTTTTCTTTTAAATATCTGGCCCAATATTTTCGAAGGGAAAGGGATCCTCTCTAGATCATTTCCTCTTAATCCATCAAATCAGGGAATTCGGATCATTGAAATTTGATTCAACGGCTACAAACAGGGGCCACTTTAAAAGTTATAATAACTTTAGCCGTTGGATCAAATTTCAATTGTACGGATCCCCTGATTTGGTGGATTAGGAGGAAAGGATCCGGAGATGATCCCTTCCCTTATCGAAGATGTTTGTACCATACTTGACCAATCCCGAAACTACTGAGCACCGGTCAACGTTACACCGTCAAGGACCCAGAAGAGTTTCCCTCCAACCAAAAGGCCAATCACAGCGCGACATGTGTCGACATCAGAAGTAAATCATAGCGCGACACGTGTCAACATCAGAAGTCAATCACAACACGACATGTGTCAATGTCAGAATGAAACTAGAAACTCTATTCTATAAATAAAGATCATTCTCTCACAATATTTCCTAATGTCATTTGTACTAAATCATTCACTAGTACTCACTAAAGGAGAGCTTGAACCTATGTACTTGTGTAAACCCTTCACAATTAATGAGAACTCCTCTACTCCGTGGACGTAGCCAATCTGGGTGAACCACGTACATCTTGTGTTTGCTTCCCTGTCCCTATCCATTTACATACTTATCCACACTAGTGACCGAAGCAATTTAGCGAAGGTCACAAACTTAACATTTTCTGTTGTACCAAAGTCCTCACTGATTTTGTGCATCAACATTTGGCGCCGTCTGTGGGAACAACACTTATTCCCACTCTCTTCAGCTTTGTTAAGATGGTTTCCACCATTCGTACACTATCTTTTGACTAGGCATCCCTCTCCAACATGGGGAACGAAGGAAGCCACAGCACACAGAATGACACCCCTCTTGCACTTAGTGTGAAGCAACGAAAGAAGGAAGGAAAGAGGGTTGCTCTTCAAGCTAAAGTCGATGAGCTAGAAGCTCAGAACAACAAGATAGCAATGAAGAATAAGGTCTTCCAAGAGCAGTGAGAAGCTATTTGAGACGTTCCACGAAACTAGGCATACTCAAACAAGCAAGCTCGTTGCCTCTATGGACATCAACCATCATCTGGGTGCCCTCAAACACGGAGGGTTACCTTCATTCGACATGGGTATCCCTGATGAAGAGCGAGCTAATCATCAAAACATTGATCAACATGAGACATCTCTCAACCCAGCTGCTTCGACCCGAAGCAGGAGAAGTGGAGGAAGACACCTCATTGCAGAAGGGTTGGAAGGATCGAAAGTCGTTTATTGTGACTGCCAAGACTTCCTAAAGCAACGTTGAGAGAATCCCCTCCACATATGCTCAAAGATCAATGACCTAAGGGTTTCTGAAAGACTCGGTCCCCTCCCACGACCCAGACCATCTGCCAATCTAGGGAAGGAACGACAGGTCCCAGAGGGATATGAAGGTACATGAGACACTGAGGTATTCCGATAGACTTGCCCTAGAAGTCAGTACGGCGAGTCCAAGGAAAAATCACACGCCTTTGCTCAAACTTTCCTACTTCTAAGAGGCGATGGAGACTTACGAAAGAAAATCTCAGTGGTACATGACTCCACTCAGGACCTCCTTGTCCTACAGCTCCTTGAGAAAGTAAACAAGTTGAAGGCCGAACGTCAGGTTGAGATACCTGATTGGAACCAACCCAGGCCTAGCCCTTTCACAAGGAGGATCATCGACACCCCCTTCAAGCAAAGACAAAACAAAAGCTTGGTTTACAACTCTATACTGGAAGGGAAGACCTAATTGAACACTTTAACCTCTTTGAGTCCACCATGGCATATCGGATGCACACCGACGAAGAACAATATCTTCTCTTCCCCTCCACCTTCTCTGGTGGAGCTTTAAATTGGTATTGCCGTATTCCACCTGAGACAGTAGACTCATTTGAGGAACTGAGGAAACTGTTTGTCTCTCAACACATCTTCCAGACCGGTCGCTTGCATTCTGCAGATGACTTGTACACTATTCGCCAGAAGCCGGACGAGTCACTACGAAAGTATGCTGGTCGTTTTAGCCATGAGTATTCTCCCTGCGCTGAGGCAGATGACAAGACCGCCCTCAAGGCCTTCACGGCAGGCCTACGTGATTGTTTCTTCAAGTACATGATCAATGCCAACACTTGGAAGACTTACTCTGAGGTGATGGCACATGCTTACAACCATGCCTCCGCCGAAGCAATGACATATCAAGGGAAACCCCTTATCAGCAAGTAGGGAGTGGAAGCCAGATCCAACCAAATAAGAAGACCTCGACCTTCCAAACGGCAGCGGTGCCTCCCCTTGCCTTACTTCATACTTTGCCAAGTCAACAGACATATCAATTTTAGGGCAAAAGGAAAGATTTCCATCCTCACCAGTCTCATTTTAGTAAAAGGATTAAGGGACACTACCGTGATAACCAAGGGTATCGCCATGATAATCCCCAACCCTAGGCAGTCAACACAGTGGGTCAAGCACGTGTCAGGACAACCCCTACCCCGAGGTATGAGGCATACACATATTTGAACGCCACATGCGTGGCCATTTACCCCAGCATAGCACATTTGATACCGAAGCCAAAGCTGAGGCACTCGGATTACAAGCCCACGAAGAACATGAGCACATTTTGCTGCTACCACGAGCATAACGACCATGACGGCGAGAAGTGTATCACTATTCGTGATCATATTGAAGCTTGGCACGTGAAGGAAAAATTGATCAATTCCTCTTTCACCCTTCAAGGGGTAATCGTAACCAACGCCAGGTAAATATGATATATTCCATAAGTGGTGGCACACCCATATCTATATCTTCTAACAAGGCCATGAAAAATAGTGAACGAGCTTTAAGGTCTGGCCACCAAGTGTTTCACGTGGAAGATATCAGGGGAGGTTAGTATCAAAAGCCTAATTGGGATCCAATATGTTTCTACCCTGAGAAAGAAAGAGGTATCATCTACCCTCACAACGACCCACTGATCGTGGAAGCTTACATAGCCAACTTTGAAGTACAACAAATCCTGGTAGATACGGGGGCTTCGGTCAATATCATGTTTGCTGAAGCTTTCAGGGCACTTAATGTAGCTGAACACTTGCTCGACTGCTTGATTTCCCCTCTGATAAGCTTCTCCGGTGATATCGTGCAAC